CAGTAGATATATTTCAAAGCGTGAACAAGCTAAGTGACGGATAATTAATTGGGAATAATTAACTGCATATATATATGGGTTTAATGCGTTTAAAATTTTAGGAAATGCAATACTAACACTGGATACTGTGTTCAAAATAAAGGACTAATTTATATATAGAAGTCAAGGATACTACCAAACTTCATCATTACGTACGTAATATATGTGTGTGTGCGCGCGCGCACCGCATGTATGTATATCTGCCATATCACCCACCCTAATGCATATCTATATATCATTATTAATTTGGAAACACAAAAATTAGTAAGATACATAAAACCAATAAAGCAAAGGTGCCATATAAAAAGCAGGACATCAATTCTTAGATATACATACAAGATCCACACCCCCTATATACGCCTCATATATAACTGAAATTACTCCCAACAAAACAAACACCAGTATATATATATATAACGACAAAACGATTGAGATAAGACAATACACTATGTCGACGCATTTCACTGCTTCACAACTAAAGTAACACCGACTAGTATAAGATTTAGTTTGTAGTTCAAACTGAATTACAGATTAAATCTCATATTAAGGATCAGTAATATGATTAATTGGCCTGTTAGACTGAGAGACAAGTCGAGGCTGATGGTGTATCATGAATGCTTCCCACATATGAGTTCCTCTCGAAGCCTCCAACATTTGCACTTGCACCAGTGCCTCCTGATTCATCTGGCTTTGTGTTTGCAGGTGAAGAAGAGCTCTGAACATTATTATTGCTTCTGCGATTTGCTCTGCGTTGAACCGCTCCTTCTTCAGCCCAGGAGCTTCTTGAGCCGAACCGGAACGCCTCTAGGGCCGAGTTGGCTGGCGCTTGCGAGCCATAACGAGCCACTGGGCTCATGTGGTGATGAAGCCCCGGATGAAAAGGAGGCGACGCTGTGAAGGGAAGACCAGCCATGGTTGAATAATAAGGGCAAAAGTGAGGACCAAAGCGTCCAAAAGTGCCCATATCAAGCTCTTTGTCAATTTTGCTGAGTACACGCTCACGCCTGTGAGCATTTTGGTGTCCGCCCAGAGCTTGAGAGCTATGGAACTTCTTGCTGCAAAACTTGCAACAGAATTTTCGCTGCTGATTATTATTACTGGCCTCCGCTCTTTCTGCTATCTTTTCGTTGTTACAATCCTCGGATGGTTTTGATGATGAAGAGGGTTCGCCCACCATCAGCTTCAGAGTCAGTAGCCCCTCTGATGAGTTGGCCTCCATGGAAGGTGGCTCTGATGATTCCTCACTCATCTTGCGCTTAATGAGCTTCCTGTGCTCAGAATCGCCGAGGATACTCTATCTGACATCGTTGTGGTTAATATTTCTCAGAAGAGAAAGAGAAGGTACTTGGGTATGGGTTATGAAGGAGGAGGGGGTATTTATTAAGAGACTGAACAACATTGCATATTTCCATGGAAGGAAATGTATATATCTGTGTTGGACCAAGTGGAACGCATATATGCTTTACATAGTAAGGTGTTTAAGGAGAGTTCGCGGGGTCTTTGACATAAGGATTAAGGAAAATGCTTGGGAAACACTTCATAATATGTAGATAATGTTGTCTACACACATTACATAAGCACCTTAGAATTTTTGTTCATGTATTTAATTGATATAATTTTTTGTTTTTTTTTTTGGGGAGGGGGTGGGTGTGTTTAGACTCTATGTTTCCTTATAGTCTGATTAATTACCGGGAATGTATTTTTCAATTCATCGTGTAATTTTTTTTTCAAAAAATTAAAAACAGCACACTAGTGTTGTTTCAATTTTGGATTAAATATCATTTTTGCTAGTACTTTAAAGTTAATCTAGAATAAAGAATTACTACTTACTACTACTCGGTTCTTAATATAAAAGCTAATTTGACTTGTATTTTGATCTTAAATATAAGATCCCAATCTATTTTGGTTTTATATTTATTTATTTATTTTAATTTATATTTATCTTAAACATAAGATAGTTCTTGTCCAGATAGTAGTTTTAACTAACACACTTGATTAGTAAAATATTTTAAGAAATACAATACTTATTTATTAAAAATAACTAAATTATTTTTTTTTTAATCTACTCAAATTATTCTACTAGCTTTTATATTACTCCTAAAGATGAGAGGTAGTACTTATTTATTTAATTATAATATTCTTGCAAACATGACCAACACCGTTCGTTCATGCAACTATCGACCGCATATGCTTCATTATCGTTCTTTGAGAAAATTAGTTATGTTTTACGTATACTGCAGTAATAAATTTTTAAAAAAAAAGGACAGATTATTATCTATAACTAGGAAATAAATTATGCTATAAGAGAAAACTAATTATTGGCTGCCGAATATGAAATCAAATCATTAAATTGTCACGTATAAGTTCAAAGGCTAGGCGTCAAATCAAGCTCTGGAGTTTCAGTACGGCGGGAGGAATGGAGCTGCGAATTTTGAGAACATCTTATTACAAAACTTGCAACGAAAGCTTGAGATGCTAACTTCTGCAGGTTTGGAAGGTCTTCAAGGGCTGATTAAGAGCTTCCTGGAGTTTTCGTCGTCTTCGATCTGATCTCTCCCTTATATATATTTTTTGGATGTGAAAACTGAGATTTTTTGGACTGAAGTGAAAACTCAGCTGAATAATGTGAACTGATGATGATTTAGGGTTTTAATTGAAGTGATTCATGGCCTTGAGGCGAATTCTTATGCGCACTTTATCAATTTAGTTCCTCTTGACTAATTAATTATAGACTGGAGATTGAAGGTCAGGCTATGATGAATTTATAATCATGCTGTAAGAAATTAAAAAGTAAATTTTTTATGCCTGAGCCTGTGATGATACGATTTTTTTTTTTCACCTGAGTGATTATACAGATAGTAAAATAAATACTTTATTTTAACTTTAACATATTAGTTAAATACATTAGAAATTTTGAGCATAAAAATTTTATTTATAAAAATATAACTGTCACAGTTTTTTTATATTTCCGTATATAATATTATGAATATTTTTTATATGACTTTGTTCGGCCTGAAAATATTTTCCATCCGATGACAATGAATCAATTAACATTAGCTTCCATTTTAAGGCCGCCACACGAGTGTTGACTGCTGACTATTGACCGTACGGTTATTTTGCAATAGTTATTGATATAACGGAAACTTAATTATTTATTATTATTGTTTGTTTTGCCGACGAATGGTACAGATTATTGGAACTGAAAAGGAACGCGGTTATGATTGTGGTTTATAATTTTTTGGATGAAACACACCTAGTTAGCAAGGACTCATCATCTATATTTTATATCTCAAAAGAGATAAGTTTAAAGACATAGAAGCTTACTATTACTTAAAAACTACAAAAAACGGGAAAAAACAAAAACACTTCCTTATTTATTTTAAAATACAACCATAGAAAATCTTACTATCACCCTAATAGCAAATGGGCGTCATGATACATACAATCTTGACTAGGTCAAAATATACATAATCTTGTGCATTTTAATATTTTATCCCCAGAATTGCCATCAATGATAAACATGTCAGAACATCTCACTTCTTCACCATTTTGACTGCCAATTATACATAAATTTAGTGGTTTGCTTGGTTCAAAAAGTATTTAATTTAAATCATAGTCTAATGAATTTGATGATTTTATGAATCCACTTGACATAATAATTCTATACATAGACATAATTTTGAATTTTCTCGAGCCATAAGAGAAGAAAACTTCTTATACGTTTTTAAAGGGGGTGTATTGTTTATCTATCCTAATGAGCTGTTTCCCGAATCGTTGTAATTAATGTTCAATCCCAAAGAGAGGGGAGAGATCAGAGAGTGGGTTTAAATTTAGTGGCATGTTTGGTTCAATTCCATAGATGCATCTTGCTAATTCAGACATTCAGCTGACAAAATAAAATAGTACTATCTCCAATATTTAATATAAGACTTCGTTTGACTTTTATTTTGGTCTTAAATATAAGACCCCAATATATTGTCTCTCATATCTATTCATTTTTTCCCAAGATGATCTTTCTAATAATAATTGTTCTAGCCAATACACTTAATTAACAATGATATTTTAGGAAATACTATAACTATTTATTATAAATAACTAACCTAACTTATTTCCTGAATCTACCCAGATTAATCAACTAGTTCTTATATTTAGGATCAGAAGTAGTACAAGTTAATCTGATTACAACGAATCAAATAATCCTCATTACATAACTTTGATTGCGTAATCTGGATTCAAATTTACATGAATCAACGTACACACATCTATAATTATTATGCCATTACATTTTTTATCCCTAGCATTACGTTCCCTGTGGTTCTTTGAACCAAACGGGCACTAGGGAGAAATAAAAATTGACCCCTCTAAGGTCTACCTACAGCGTAGGAAGTACGGATATGACACAAATAAGCGCAAGGCACCACGTTAATATAATTCTTAGGTGTCCTAATAAATTCTCTCTGCTGTAGAGACAGGGCGCAAGAAAACCACAATGACCGTAATGTTATCTTTGCTACCTCGTTCCACTGCCTCGGTAGCCAATCTCTTTGAGCACATTCCTGGCTCTTTCACTGTATCTTTGATTATGCTTATAACTTCTTTATTGCTCATCACATCCCACAGTCCATCACTCGCCATCACCTGATCACAATCTTTTCATTACTACCTTTCCACAATATTCATATCACAGTATTGCTAGAAACAAGACATTTCATGACACTCCTTACCAAATATTCATCGTCTGAGGATAGAGTAGTTTCAGTTATCTCCGGTTCTGCAGTTACAGCCGGCTTCAGATCGTCATCCCCAATGGAACGTGTAACCTGTGAACAAGAGAGTTAACTTCACTTGCAAGCAACTGATCATGAATGTATCAGAACTCGTGATTCACAAATTGCTGGTTGGAAGTTTGAACAACATGCCTGGAGTGCAGGAAGGCCAACCCTCCAGGTATCAACTTGCCAGCGAACTTGCCCTCCATTACGAATAACACGCTCTCTCTCTTCAGGACAGCTTGCAACATGATCCTAATTAGATAAGACCTGATTAGCGAGAAGGGTGGTATTTAAAGGAATGAAATAAAGGAATAGAGCTGCTTTTAACTCACTTTGCTTAGAGCAATGGGAGAACCAGCGCGGCATAAGATTGTCCTGCAATCACCACTGTTAGCAACAAAAAGCTTGTTTCTGACTACAAGAGTGACAACCGCTGTACAGCCAGGATGCCAGTCCTTCTGGGTGACTCTTCTGGATTTACGACAGGAATCAAGCTCTTCTCTGAAGGCATAATCTGTTTTAAGGAATGCCTCAACGAGTGTGGTAGCTGGACTGCATATTTGAACATGCTAAGGCAATCTATCCCTCAATATACAGGAACATAACTTAGAAGGGGGAAAAAATAGAAGGGGGAGAATCTCAAGTGAAACGTACCTTCCTATAGAACCTAAAGCTTGCAGGAATCCTGGCAAGGCTTGAGCAGAAAACTCAGCAGCTGCTGCACCTGCATGGGGTGCCAATTTATTCATTAAGATCAGCTTGAAATTGCTTTGTTCAAAATTTTCGGGGTACTTTGATATTTCAGTTCTCTCAAGTTAACTTCAATAGGGATGCCGAAGCCAGGAGTTCAGGCAGTCTCGCATTAATTAAAGTGAATGGGCTAGATGCTCTTGTAATAATAATATCCTAAAACAATGCGGATACTGATACTAAAACACTAGCGAATACCTCTATGGCCGTCAAAGATGCCAAAAGCATGTACGTCCTTTTCATTGCACATGCTGGGAAGAATGAAATGTGTGTCCTCCATGGTCTCCCTTCTCGCACAGGTAGCATAAGATCCCCAAGAAAGTGTTGGACAGTGAGCCAAAGGCTCATCAAAAGCCCTATGCCAGGTTCTCAATTTAGAATCAGTTCCACTGGAGGATCTCTTTGAGAGAAGTTCTCCCAGGGTAGACCAATTAATGCTCTCTTGATAAGCCTGAAGGTGATTATTGCTCCCGTCTACAACCTGATTGTCACGCAACTTACAAGGTCTGAGGTGTCCATCGTCACCGTCCCTTCTGTGCTCAATGATGGAATCAAGCTCCTTAACTATATAATCAAAGGAAGGTCTATTTTCAGGTTTTGCATCCCAGCATCTCTGTATTAATGCTAATAATCTTGAAGGTACACCCGACTCCTGAGCAGCAAGGACTGGCCTTAATCCATCAGAAACAACAGCTGCTGTTAGTTGCTGCTCTGTATAGTTCATCTCGAGTACTGTGTGAGCCTGCCAGCGCCATATAAAAATAATAATTAAACAAATTGTGATAGCACGCATGTCAATAACTCAAAATAAAATATTTAGATAAGGAATGCTTCCAATATGCAGAACAAACAATTCCGACATGATAACTAGCAATCCCAGCAGAAGTTTTAGTTTCTAACACAAAATGACAAAAGCCCATCTTAGAAAAGGACACAATTCCGCTTTATGCTCTTGTAACTTAAAGGTTGAACGTTTCAAACGAAAATAATATCATGATAAAGGCAATATATAATTCATATGGCAAGCTCTAGCAGGTTTTACTTTCTAACCGATCCTTTTGTAAAATAAGCATCACTTGATCATGTACGGAAGTGACCCTTCCTCTATGATTTCTTACCCCAAATAGACCATATGCATTACCCCATCCAAGAATCATTCAAACCTCACAGATAACAACTTTCATTGAGTTATAAGAATATAGACTATATCCAGATTTGTTTAAGGGTGAATTTTTTCGGGATATATTTTTAAAAATATACGTAATGAAAATACTTACTGACAAGTTGACATAATCTTTTTTCACAAAACAGAAACCCCAACTAGTCTTATCAGTGACCCAAAGTTCCCTTAAGAATGATGACAAGGAAATACACCAAAATTCTAGAAAACAAAAATAGGGCAACGCTCATCTTCACACATTAAAAAAAAAAAAAAGGAAAAGAAAAGAAAAGATGCAAAGATAATGTGAGCATGTCATATAACATACAGAACGTGACATGATATTGCAAGCATAACAAAGTACCCATGTAAGAAATAGGCTGACCTGTGCTTCTGCACGAAGATCAGTATATGGTACAACACCTGTAAGGAGTTCGCTGCAACAAATACAACAGACGTCTTATGCAAAGCGGAAACTTGATTAGAAAACAAAAACTATACATATATGCTTATTAATTATGAGTTATGACCAAATAGAACCGCTCAAGCATCAACTTATTTGGTATCATGACCAGCTTATGTGGCAAAGTGAGATGTCAGAATTAATACTTTAAGCAAACTGCCATCTAGCATTCATAAGCAATCTTGCATTCAAATTTGATTTCCTGAAAAGTTATGTTCTACTCTGTATCTTTATGTAAATGCACTGGTTGAAGAAAGTAAAAAGATGTGCTAGGAAGCCAAACCTTATTCCAGACAGAGGGGGGTTTGGATAAACATATTTTAAATCTAAAATGCATTTGTAAGACTTGAAAACCAAACCACGCAATTTATCAAGCCTTAATAGCTAACCACAACTAGTGAAATTATGTTACCACCACATTTCTAAAATAGTAGATGATGAAAAGCATCAGATATAACCTGGCAACTGCCTTGAATTCACTTAGCTTTCCTGAAAAACAAACAAAATGGAATGATAGAAGTGATATTGTCTCTTACTTGATTGTCACCCCAAAACTGTAGACATCTGATTTTTCTGTGTGCAGCTCCTTCTTTAATATTTCAGGAGCCATGTAAATTAGAGTTCCAACCATATTTTTTTTATGAAAACCACCAGTCGGCTTGCCAGAAGACTTCCAATTTTCAAGAGAAACTCTCTTAAGGTCATTCTTGTATTCTGCCAAACCAAAATCTGTGAGGTGTGGATAAAGATTTTCGTCAAGCTGCATCACAGAGACAAAATGGTTAGTTGGCTAATGCATAATTACTGCATAATTCTGTCAAATATTAAAACAACACCAAACAACTTAATGATCAAAAGATAGGGAGAAATTTACAAGAATATTTGCTGGTTTCACATCTCTATGTAGTATCCCAAGGTTATGAAGATACTGCAAAGCTTTAGCTGCAAGATAAGTGATGGGAAGGAAAAGAACTGTCAGACTAGTTATTCTTGTACAATTTCCTTGCATGAATACAGTTTTCAAACTACAATGGTTGGATAACAGTTTGATGCAAACGATCCCCTGTCTACATTTGAAAGTATTTTCCAAAATTATTTAACTTTTTCAATTCCTTTATTTGCCCATTTCGTGAATATAATTAAATATATTTAATTGAGTTTTATAAAGGAAGCTACAATGCCAATTAACCAATCAAATTTGCAAATAGATTTATATGCTAGTTATCAAATTTTGGGCTGAAACGTCAAAAGTGAACACCTATTAGGCAATCGCCTTTTCAAGAAAACACATACGACATTAATAGCTACTGTAGAAAAGTAAATGCAAAGAACTTACAAAACTATTTCTAATCGTTCTATTTAAACTTCTGTTTGTAGTCCAAAAAGTCCAAGAAATTTAGTGTCTTGCTATTTGGTAAAAGAACTGATGAGGTAGATCATAAGATAAAACCTTCCAACCCATATGCTGATCCGTTAAACAACTAATTGAGATAAGGATGATTTATTGAAAGTAATTTCTAAACAGAACAAAATCTTAACTATACCTAACTGAATTATTATCATAAGTGCGTAACTGACACTCGGGGTCCATTCTTCCAAGTGTAACTTTTGTGCAAGGTTGAGAGATTCATAGAATTTGAAGAAAAAGAGGTAATTGGGCGGCTTTGCATGAGCAGCAATTAGCGTTGCTATCGCCGGGTGATCTAACTTGCTGCATTATTTAAGAACAAAGAAAACTGTGAGGTGAAAGCTGCATGCCTAATAAATATGATTGGAGATAACAAAATCTTTTAGATGAGGGTAAAGGTCATAACACGCTCCAAACATGCAAAGACCCCAATAGGATTATACAAACAGAAGATGCTGCGTGAGAGAGAGACCATAACAGCTGTAATTCTTTGTGGAACTTGTTGATATCTTCCGTAGTTGACAGGATAGGTTTCTTGACAGCAACCTTGTTCCCATCTAAAGTCCCTTCGTACACAAGACTCTCCGCCCCTATGATTGCCATTATAAGCAAAGTTACAACTTATTTTCAATAGAGAAACACAAGCACGGGCTGAATTAAAATGAGCGGCAGATCAAACATCCAAACATGCCTCATGTCATCACTCTCATGACAGAAATGTAAAGTCGCAACTCTTTAAAGAAAAACTACAACTGACATTTGGCTCAAACAAAGAAGAGCTAAACGGTTCAATGATCCAAAAGCGAAAGTAATCAATAGGAATGTTCATGAAAAGATACGCCCTTCTACAGTATCTCTCTCTCAAGCCAGTCCTAATTCTTTCTCAAAAACAAGAAAAAGTCAGAACTTGGGAAATGACAGAAGCTTAAAACTGCAGAGGCTTTACCTCTGGCAATTGGAGCTAAAAGAGAATAAGAGGAAGGAGGAACATGGAGAGGAATAGAAGTGCTGGAACAGCAGCCCCTAATGCACGTGTTGGGCACCATAATCTCCAAACCCATCTCTTTCAGAGCTTCTTCTCGGGGCTGCAGGTAGAAGATGAGGAGGTGGCGGAAGAAGAAACAGAGAATTTAAAGTTGGGTGAGAGGCCTGGCAGAGGAAGAATACAAATAGAAAGAGACAACGGAAAACGGAAGAGAGGGGTCCGTTGTTGTATTATGTTTTTGGTGATGGAAATTTCGTGTTGCAATTGTTTGTGGCCTCTGTTTGGCCGCCTCATGCCTTCTCTCCCTCTCCTCCTCCCCATTCGCCCAGCAACAACTTGTCCAGAAACCAACAAAAGCAGACTTTGCTCGTCATTAAAACTTGAGATACTCATATGATAAGTGCTCGTATCAATAGCTTTCTATACATCTCGAGCTCATTTAGTAAAAAACTAAGGATTTTTTTTTGCCAAAAAAAAACTGAGGATTAAAACTAAGGATTGAAACACTTAATTTAAATGCGGGTATAATAGAATAACAATACAGCCGATATTTTTATAATTTGTGAATAAAAATGTTGTTATTATTAAAATATATAAATAGGATTTATTCTCATTTTTTGTAATAAAAAAATCCACCATTCACACGAGTTGTTAACAAGATGAAACGCAATAAATTACCTCAAAATCAAATAGTAGAGTGCGGGTGGCTTTTTCTCCTTCGGCACTATTACGTGACCATGAATGTGATTAAAAGGCAAAAAAAAAAAAAAACTGCAATAAAATCTCAAAAGAAAATATAACAACTAAAAATTTTCAATAATAAAAATGACAAATTTTTTAATTTGTTATTGAGTTTTTTTTTGTAGTTATTTTCTGGAGAGAATTATAATCAGATTCTCAGGAAATGATAAAATTACCTTAAAGTCTGTTAACAAGTTAGGCTGATCATTTGTTATTAAGACTTTTTATATATATTTTTTTTTGAAACCTCGTGATAATTCTCCCTATTTTCTTTGGTTGGGAACTCATCATGATTCTCCCAAAAAAATAATAATGAGGTGGAAATTATCGTGAGGGTTGACGTCATCCGAAAGCTGCCAGTCTCAATGGGAGATTTTTAAGGAAACTGGATTGTTTTTTTTAACGATGAAATATGAATATAATATTTTAACAGGCGAATCATTTTTTCTGTTACTAATATAAATATGAAATATAATTTTCCGTCTCCACATTGTGAACTGGAGATGACTTAATTGTCAAATTCTTCAGGCCCAAAAAAACTGAATCTACTAATCTTTCAGTCATGACTTAACTAGCCCAGTATCAACGTGGGTTATAAAAGCAATTATGAAGCCCATCAAAGCCCAATCTACAAGTACAAGGACCACTTTGATAATGCAAGCCGACATAATCAGATTTTGGGCCTATGAAAGACCCTCGGCCTTTCTGTCTTACGAAGAAAACACAAAACCGCCTTAGCAGCCAAGTTCGGAAGTTGCGAAACCGGTATTCTAGGTTCCATTTGCCGTGGAGAAGAACTGGGCGGCGACAATGAAGCTCCCTAGCTTCTCTGTTTTTTTGCTATTGCTTGGTGCTTTCCTTATTCTCTGTGGGTTTTCTGAATTTGTTTATTGCACCAGAGGGGACGAGTTCATTGGGATGAAATTGGGAGGGATTCACAATATAGAGGGCACTCATAACAGCGTTGAGATCGACAGCCTTGCTCGTTTCGCAATTGAAGAGCACAACAAGAAAGAGGTATTGTCTTTGATTTTATCTATTGCGATTCTTTCTCCCGAATGATCGAATCATGAGTTTTGATGCGTTAGCTTTTCGATTTCGCGGTTCTCTAACTATTGACCCAGGTCGAGGGATTCCCGTTTGCGTTTTCTTCTTTGTTCGGTAATCTTGTTTATTTTGTAATTGTTAATTGAAAGTTATCCCTTTAGGTTTCTTCTCTTTCACCAAACAAACCTCCCCCCCCAAAAAAAAAAAAAAAAAATTCCTCTTCTCCCTGTTTCGTTTTGAAATATATGAATTATATTGAGATATTAGAAGTAGCATCATTTTTTCTTGTTCGTAAGCTGAAAGAGAGAGGAGAAATAAAGATTTTTTTTAGTGCTTTTCCTAAATACCGATTGATATACTCCCTTCTTCATTCGTATCCAATGAAATCGGCGGGTGGTCGTGTCATAGCTTGCCAACTTAACCCTCCCCCTCCCAGATTATTAAATTAATTGTTCAGCTGCAATCATGATTTTTATTTATCTGAAATCAGAATTCACTTCTTGAGTTTACGCGGGTGTTGGAAGCCAAAGAACAGGTGGTAGCTGGTAAGTTATACCACCTTACGATGGAAGCAAGTGATGCGGGAAAAAGGAAAATATACGAAGCCAAAATCTGGGTGAAGCCCTGGATGAACTTCAAGCAGTTGGAGGAATTCAAGTATGCTCAAGACATCTCTCCCTTTACAACTTCAGACCTTGGTGTTAAAAAAGGTAACTAGCTGATTCTGATTTCTATATCTCTTTTCCTGGCAGTAAATGTAGGTATTATGCCATGTTTGTTCCCTGTGAGTTATAGCTAGTGGGGGTTCCGGAAAATTTTCACAATATAATTGAAATTGTGTTTTAAAAGTTAAAAATTAAATGCCAAGCATGCTCCTTTTTTATTTAGTGTTTGTGTGTGTTTTTATAAATATGAGAGGTATTATGTTTCTCAAAGTTGGTAGCCCTTTTAAGATGGACACAGATTAGGATGGCATGATGTGCCAATACATGACCCTGATGTCAATGATGCGCCTAGTTATGCTGTTAAGTTTATTGCCCAGAAGTCCAATTCTGTCTCCTTACCAGCTTCTTGAGATTGTTCTGGCTAAGGCCAAGGTTGGGTCTCCTACTGGTCTAATTCTGTTGATCACATTCTTCCTCTATTTAAGTGCGCTGTCTCCCTTCTTCCGATCATTACTTGCCTGCATTGTCCTTCATTTGTATCTACTGTTTTTTGGTCGTTGCTAATCTCTTCCTTATCCCCATGCGTTGGCTTGATGCAGGTCGCTAAAGATGATGTCAAATTTAGCTTGCTTCTGAACGTTAGGAGGGGAGTTAGGGAAGAGACGTATAAGCAGCTGGGGGGAGGAAGGTTCTATTTGAGCCAGATGCGGCAAGATCAGTCCTGAATTGATTAGGATTTAAATTGGCTTTTGTGTGGAATGTTGCTTCTTTAGTCTTCCCCGAGCATGAAAACTGTCTTTTATTATTAAAAAATAAAATAAAACTGTCAATGTATATAGACATTACAAAGTACCCTCATGTAACGTTCTCCATATGTAAATATATACTTAGTTTTGACTCCAAGCTTTCCCGTGATTTTTATCAATGTGCCATTTTATGACATACAGGAATCCAGCCGATATTGGCCATTAGTCCTTCATGCTGCCACCCCACATCTGAACAAGCCACAAAACAATGTTGGTCGCTGCTGCACTGGAATTCAACTCTATTGTTTCATTTCATGTTTTGCAACTTTTCAACATTTTATATCGGTGCAAAATTTAGAAGGAGACAAATGGAAACCAATATAAAGGATGTCCCTGCATCCTGATACTGACTTATAATGATAGTGCTGGAAAGCAGCAAGGGTAGCCAAATTCACAGGGTTATATCTCGGCGGGCACGCGTTTATACAAGTGAGAGGGTAGCCTGGGGGTGGCCACGGCCTGTAGTGAGGTCCTCATGTAGGTCACCAACCCGGGGTTCTCTGACATGTCAATCTCCTCCGGCCTCATTCCTTCCGGTGGGGTCCAACAGAAATGGTGAAGTAGGTGACCCAACATGGAGGTCACCAGGTTGATTCCGAGCTGTGCTCCCGGGCACACCCGACGACCCGCTCCAAAAGGCAACAGCCTGAAGTCATGGCCCTTCATGTCCACGTCCTCCTCAAGGAACCTCTCGGGTCGGAACTCCAATGGGTCCTTCCAGACGGCCGGATCACGAGCTATGGCCCACACATTAACGTGCACGTTGGACCCTTTGGGGATGTCATAGCCTCCAATCTTGACGTTGGCATTGGCTCTGTGTGGGAGCATGAGCGGAGTTGGAGGGTGCAGCCGAAGGGCCTCCTTGGCGACACACTGCAGGTAAGGAAGGCCAGAGAAGTCGGGCTCGGACATGACCCGTTCAAACCCGATAACCCGGTCCAACTCCTCCTGCGCCTTCTGCTGCACCCTGGGGTTTTTAATCACCTCAGCCATGGCCCACTCCACCGATATCGCGGTCGTGTCCATTCCTGCAGTGATCATGTCCTATACAGAATAAAGAATAAAGAGGTTATGACTAAAATCCATATCGTTTTTTTCAGTGGGGCAAAAAAATGAACAAACCAAGCTTCAAATCAAAGTAATAAAGAAAGAGAAAGAAGAGATACCCAGAGAAGACCGATGATGGTGTCTTCGCTAAGGTCATATTTGTCCTGCAAAGTGAGGAGGGCGTCAACGAAGTGTTGCTTGGCGCCGCCAGAGAGCTTACGAGCCTGAGTGTGCTCTTCCATGATGGCTCTGGTGAGTCTGTCCCTGCGAGCGCCGTGCTTGGCAAAAGCCTCTTCTTCGAGAGGGAACATCCAGCGGAGCCAGGGGATGTGCTCGGCCATGGCGAGAGAAGCTCCCAGCTTGAGGCCATTGGCCACGATGGCCTTGAACTCCACTCCTTGTTCGTCCATCACCCCCTCTGAGTTCACAAATCTCTTTCCAAACGCCAGCCTTGTTATGTTGTTGAATGCCACTGCTCCCAGGTACTTTCTTCACCATCACGCTTTTCCCTTCATTTTCTGCACCGCCAATTTCCCATCTCCATTCATTTTTACATTTACAGTGAACAAGCCGAAGCTTGTGAAAAAAGCGTGAACTAGAAATAAATCTTTTTCATCCAAATCAAACTTCTTTTTCGTGAAAGACGCTGACTTTTCACCAAAGAGTGCAGTAGGTTTAACGTGATAAACAAGTACAGCAACTTATCACCTGAAAAATAATAAATAAGTCTAGCAACAAGGTCCAGCCAACTCAGTTGGCCCCCCCAAAAAAAAAAAAAATCCCCACCAATCCTGCCAACCCTCTTAATTTTTCTCCGGTAATAATTGTTAAATTGTTTTGGTGGCCATCTTAGACGGTGGGAGTACAGCCACACCCAAATAAGTAAATTAATGGCCTCTCAATTTGTTCAGATTATTCTAACATACAAAACTTTAAGAAAGAAGAAGATAGAAATTAATGCATCGGCTAGCAGAGACAGATGATAGGAGTTTTGGGACGTTAGTTTTCCAGAAC